CAGATTTTGTTTGCCACCCTCCAGTCTTGATTTTAAATCCAAGACAAGTTCCCGGCGTTTCAGCCGTTCCGCCGATGAATAGTCAGGTTGATAAGAAACCTAATTGTGCGTGTTTATGAGGTCGGTTTATTAGAGAGGATCACTTTGTGCAGATTTTGCCTACATCGTCTAAAATTTGCATGTAAATTTATTTTTACTTGCTTTGATGGGACCCCGACGGGTCTTTAATAAAATAATTGAATTGAATTGAATTGAACTTGATTTGCTCTTTGTTCTCCAGCATAATTTTGAAAGGGCGAGTTGGTTGTGTAGCTGCCCTGTCTTCACTCTTTTTCCTATCCGGAATGCTTTCAGAACCTTTATTTCCATGTCTGCCTGGAGTAACTGATTTAATAGACCATGAAAAGAAGCAAGGTCCTCTGGGACACGGTCTTCAGGTCTGACTGCATTCGATTCGGCCAAACCCTGAATAACCAGGCACTGCTGGCGAACATGGTCCAGCTTACTTTTTCTTTCCGGTGAATTCGCTGAATGTGGGCGAGGACGATTTACGGAGTCGTCGCTTGGATACACACTTTTGATGTCTACTGACTGTCCCGAGCAACCCATCAGGGCGGCTTGTGACTTCAGACTCCTGTCATGGTGTTTCCTTCTCCCCTCTACCAACGGGTTCATGTCTTTGCATTCAGATACGTGCTCTGTAGTGCGCTCGGTGTAGTTGCCAGAACAAGAGGGCAAAAGTAGATTGGATGACCCAGGTATATCGTCTCCAGGCAAAAGAGAAATCCCGTCACTTACAGGAAGAGGCTTAGGTGATATGGCTTCCGCTCCAGGTAATTTTTTTGTGACATCGCTTAAGACATCTTCCGTGGGAGCCGAGTCTGCCCTTATCGGCGGCTTCGTTTTCGTTGTCCTGCTGTTACCGGCGTCTGCAGTTTTGACTACTGCGGTGCAACTTTTGTTTGGAGATGCCCCGAGGAGATACTTTTTGGCGTTTTTGCGTTTTGCTCTTCGTTTTTGGGACTCTAACACTGGACACGTTCTGCACACGTTCATTTAACATGGGATTAAAAATTTGAGTAAAAAATCTCAGGTCTTCCTTTTTAAATCCAAAGAACGTACACATAAAAAATTGGAGTCCTCTACCTATTGATATGTCTAGGCGGCCTAAACTATCGGGGAATAGAACAGGAGTAGGGAATCATTTCTTCTTGATTCCCAATGCATTAGCTGATTTCGGAATCGTTAACGCTTTTACAAAACAGAAATATCTGTTATTTCGTTATCTGTTGTTGTCATTTTTAGACATCTTACGGAATTACATACAAATGCTGTTTAAGTACACTGATTTTTGATGCCTGTTTAAGGGTTTGACACATGCTATCTCAGAGTCCATTTCACTTTTCACGTATACCTCAGAATTTAATGTTTCACAAGAGTCCAAAGACAAGGAAAATACATTTATCCAACTTAAAACCTGTTAACATGAGTATACAAAGGAAAACTGTTTGCGTGACTAATTCGCTCTATGCGATTAGGCTTAGAGGAATATCGATCGCTTCATTCAAACGTCTGAATATCGATTCATAGTGCACACCGAGCACAAGCCAACGCGCAAGATCTCAGAACGGTAGCTTGATGGAGGAGAAGAACTCCATTATAACGAAAAGCATCAATGTCACCATCCGGAGTTCAAGGTAATTTTCCTTCACTACGCACTTGCAATTATCTTGTTTTAATATATCACAGTTAAACAAGTGTGTAAGCTGAGGAAATTGAATTGCTCACCGGTGAGCAATTCATTTGCCTCAGATCACGATCCGGATCTTTCACTTTTGCTAACCTCAAGTGTGTAAGCGTATATCAGTGTGAATTCCGCGTAACTCCCACCGCGCACGCTTTTACAAAACATGAAAAAAGTTGTGATCTTCCAGGTGTTATGGTCCTTGAAAAATTCATTCTTCTCCCCGTGGTAGTATTGTATTTTGTTATGTAACCGACAGTAGTAACAAGATAACAAAACGAATTTTTTAAATAATATTTCATTAGCCCGGGCGTTACTGGATCCATCTACTCTTCTCCTTCCATCGCGGGTGGACAGCCCGCCATCGCGGGCGCACCTGCTGGAGGCGGTGCCAGCACCCCGAAGTTGATTTCCGTCAAAGCTCGCCAAATATTTGATAGTCGAGGAAATCCGACGGTTGAAGTTGATGTCGTCACCGGAAAGGGTATATTTACCCAATGACTTGTTTTCGGATTATCGCCAAAACTGCTTTAAAACTAATTACTTTCTTCTCTAGGAACTTTCCGTGCGGGCGTCCCTAGTGGAGCTTCTACCGGCATTCATGAGGCACTTGAGTTAAGAGATCAAATCAAATCTGACTACATGGGCTTGGGCGTTTTAAAGGCGGTTGACAATGTGAACAAGATAATCGCTCCTGCTCTCCTCAAAAAACAGTTTCACCCCAGTAATCAAGAGGAGATTGACATGTTTATGGTTAACGAACTGGATGGAACTGAAAACAAAAGTAAGTTTTATTACCATCTACTTAAAGCACACGAACATGAAATAATGGCCTAACGTTTGTTTTCAGGTAAACTTGGAGCCAATGCTATTCTTGGAGTATCCCTGGCTATGTGCAAAGCTGGTGCGGCTGAGAAGGTAAATTGGGCTTCTAAATAAGTTAACCGATTAAAGGGAGTTCCACTTTATCGACACATCGCCGACCTTGCTGGAAACAAGGATGTCATTCTACCTGTGCCCGCATTTAATGTGCTGAACGGTGGCAGTCATGCTGGAAACAAGCTTGCTTTCCAGGAATTCATGATTCTGCCTGTTGGAGCAAAATCCTTCACAGAAGCAATGAAAATTGGTTCTGAAGTTTATCATAACCTCAAATCAGTCATCAAGGCTAAGTATGGTCTTGATGCCTGCAACGTGGGTGACGAAGGAGGTTTTGCCCCAAACATTCAGGATAATTTTGAAGGTAACTATTTTTGACTACTAACACTTACTATGTTTCATGTAACTTGACCTAACAATTAAATTTCAGGCTTGGAATTACTAAACGAAGCTATAGCCAAGGCTGGCTACACCGGCAAGGTAAAGATTGGTATGGATGCAGCCGCCTCTGAATTCTACAAGGAGAATCTATATGACCTTGACTTCAAGAACCCCAACTCTCCTAAAGATCAGTGGATATCTTCCGAGAAACTTGGCGAAGTTTTCAAGGAGATGATTTCCAAGTACCCGATCGTTAGTATTGAAGATCCTTTTGAGCAAGATGACTGGGACTCCTGGACTCCGTTTACAGCCAGCGCTGGCATACAGGCAAGTAGCTGTTAATCGACTAGTACAGAAAATTAGTACTATTTGCCACCTTAATCTACTCTAATATTTGACGACTTTAGATTGTGGGTGACGACTTAACGGTTACGAACCCAAAACGTGTACAGAAGGCAATTGATAGCAAGGCTTGCAACGCCCTACTCATGAAAGTAAACCAGATCGGAACGATCACTGAATCGATAAAAGCGTGCAACATGGCGAAAGGAGCTGGCTGGGGTGTCATGGTTTCCCATCGCTCCGGAGAAACTGAGGACTGTACTATTGCAGACTTGGTTGTGGGTCTGCGGACAGGACAGATCAAGACTGGTGCTCCTTGTAGATCTGAAAGACTTGCGAAATACAACCAAATGCTTCGAATCGAAGAGGAACTGGGCGCTGCGGCGCAGTACGCTGGTGAAAGATTTAGGAACCCCTAAGTGTTCCCGAATTAGTTTACGATGTCGTTTGACATGTCTTTTTATTTTTCAGTCAAATAAATGATTTTAACTTAAAACACCCCTACTTGTTGATTCATAATTCGAGTTAACACTGAAAGAAGTAACAAACGTTTTTTGACTGTCAGTTTTTTTTACTATATGGTCATGTTCCAAGGGCATTACTTAATCAACCGGTTGGTCAAATGGTTAATTATTGTTAAAATTTAACCAGCTGAGCCAACTGAACTTGGTTTGCTTACACAGCTCGTTGACAGATGAAAGATTGACTTCACGCGTATGGCTTCGCCCTTTCAAGTGGCCAAACGGTTTAGACTAATCCTGTTTCACACAAAAGCTAGCAATGGATAAAACTACATTCCTCAATACTTGAATACTGCAGCAGGTACTAGGAGACATAGAAGATGGATGGGCCGCTACTTAATTTGAAATAATAATACATGGCTTCCAAATCACTGATCAGAGACACTGAATTTGTAAGACATCAGTTCTATCGTCATAGTGCACCAACAAATCATAGGGTCTGTGAACGCCAACGGACAGTTCGGCAGTATGAGCCGACGATGGATATCGTGGTCCTCTAGGCGCAACTCCTTGGTACAGCGCCAGACGTTCATTTCAGTGAGTACGATCGGGCAGTCTGCGAGCGCTATGAGGCCTCAGACTGGGTGACTAACCGCGTTAATCAGAGATGCTGACACGCGAACACTCAGTACACTTTCCCAGCACGATTCCGTTGAAGGAGGTCGGAGTAAGTCGACTCCTAGTGGTTAATTAACGCCCGGAACTAGGCGAAAAAACCTATAAGAAACTGGGGATTTCATCAATCCAGAGTATCTTAGGATGAGTGGCCGAATGTTCGTGGATTAGGTGCGGGTAGAGGAAGTTGCTGTGCTTTATGACAGCGGGGAGGGCGCATGGACTCACCGTATTTGAGCTGGAGGGTGTTCACAAACCAGGAAATAATCTGCGATAGGTCGTGGTCGGCTGGTTGCAGTCAGCAGCGACCTCAGTCACACTGGATGGTGAGGTGAATGCAAACCACCAAGGGTTAAGTTGCGCACAGGAGACAGGACAACGATGTAACCAGGAAGCCGGTCTGCATTAATCGAGGGGGGACGGTGTGGGAAGTTCACAGGAACATCGCTGGTACCTCGAGGACTTGGCTACAGCAACTCGCCATGGATTCGAATGGTGGTGGTGGTGCAGTTAAGGTCGGGAGTTGTGGTCAGTCCAGCTACATGGACACCAAGGCTTCCGAGGTGACCTATAGCTGACGTTGTGGCCTGTCAAGGATACTATTGGTAGTCGGTCTACAGACAACGGCTCCACCCCAGGTGAATCATCAAAGAGCGAGGGAGGACTGACAGGGCCGACAGTCAAACTGGACGTCGCAAACATTGGTGACGGTGGAATGGCTACCGACGAAGACGGCCTGGGCATTGAGGAGTGCGCCGATGGCTGTGCTCTCCTGCACTTTCGGTATTGGAGCAGCCCCTGTCGGAAGCATATCAGGAGATAGGCGACTTACAAGATTCAATTAAATATGGTCGGAAATGGCGCCGGTGCCAGTGGGAGTTAGAGCCTTGTAGTGTCGGAAACTTCGACAACCCCGAATCTACAACTTGAGGTGCTTTTGTGCAGGGTCGGGGGAATCCATCGCTGATCAGTTCGTTTGTCGCTCGACTTCCGGTTGAGCAGAGTTTTGCAGGACGGAGATTGCTTCGCGGCAGATAGAGGGACAGACGCGTCATCGCCAGTGATGAGCGGGGAGGACAAGAGTTGAGGGCTGGGAACCTCTTTAGCCCGGGAACCGATACGACGCCGTGCTGCGGTCATGACTAACGTCGATATCGGAGTCATTTGCGAGGCGGAGCTGCAAAGTCTATACATTGTGTCGCTCACCTGCAATTCACAGACGCGGCGGACGTCAGTGGTGAGCCGTGTTTCGCAGTCTGATTCCGGATCTCAAAAGTACTGCGTTTTTTTGAAACGGACTGCAGAGTAAGTGCAAGTAGCTCGAAATCTATAAGGATGTCAAAGTCTCTTATATTGAGGAAATGCTAGAATGTTTGCATTTCGAAGCATGCAGGTAAGTGATCCTTGGAGAATAAATCTACTGGCTAAAGTGGACCCGCGAGTCGTTGTTAGAACACGGCACCAAGGACAACATTGGAGGTATTAGCCATGACGCTGAAGGTTGTCGGAGCAGCATGGATCGACATACTGGCAATCCAGAGCAGACCACCGTCAGAAGCAGTTGCAACACATGCTGAGACTTCAAGTGAATCTCTGGGAACAGGGAGAGGGCATTTGAGCAACAGGATAGTGTCGACACAGCTTTTGACCAACCGACAAATTCGAGGGGTGAGATGGACACCTAATAGTCGACCGGATGACCCCAAAGGGCACTTTCGAGGACTGATAACGACATTACCCTGCTTAAACTTTAGTTCAGGGATTTCCTAGTCGTTTTCGCCTGCTACTGGTAACCAAAAATCTATCAATTTGTGCGTGTTGAAGGGGAAGCCCGTGTTGTCCTCTGTTCAGAAACCTTTGAAATGTCCTCAGAATATCAACCGGTTGTGGTGAGATTTATTCGAGTGCCCGAAACAGGTTATCCCTGCAATAGTTGGTTTTTTCGAATGATGCAATAACAAAGCCCTGTAGATAAGGACAAAAGCACTAATCTGGACTGGGCGGCATGGTTCAAAAACCCGTAATTGCCGCAGGGACGCCCGTCACCTCTGACGGCTCCTGAGGACCCTCGCAGACGCGATTCTTGAATGTTCAACATGTTCTCGAACTGGGCCTCGACCGTAACGAGACGACTGGGCCGATAAACAGAAGTGGAGGTGTGTTGATGTGGATGTAATGTACCGCATCGTGCCGACAATGAACTGGGGTCAGGAAGGGCCAGAAGAGTTGTTGAGGAGCTCCAGAAATGACCACATGCTGGCGAAAGATACCAGAAAAGAGAATGCTCCTGTGTGATAGAAGATAGCCAGCGGTCTGCCAGGAGGTCAATGATGCCAAATATTTGTGCCAGGCAAGATACTGGAAGACACTGTAGACCTAAAGAGAACGAAAACTGATGATTTTGCGGCACCCCGCCGTCATGGTCATCAGCGCCACACGTGACAGTTCGACCGTCGTGACTGACGATGTCCACCGTGTGGTCCATAGCAAAGTGAGGCAGGCACGGTGACCCGCGCGTGAATTAGTTCATAATGAGTGTAGACATGCGCAGCATCTATCGCACTCGATCCTCCTTTTCCTCCTCCTCCTCCTCCACCTGAGCGCGGTGTCAAGATAGAGTCAGGAAGACCGGAGGCGGCGGAGGGCCTAGTTGGATGGCACAGTCGAGTCCGCACCTTGACGCTCCACTCCGCGCCCCCTGGTCCACACAGCAAATGACCAGGATTTTAACCAATAAAAACACGACGGGTCAGAAGGAAGAGGATGACTGGGCAGCCATGCTCACGACATTCATGCCCAGCGGGAGCGCAAGCGCATCTACCGACAGGGAACCAGGTGTCAGAGAAACCACCAGCGCATACCAGGCTGCGATGGCCATCGTTTGCTGATACTAGCATAGAGCATGCTTTCAAACCTTTTGACCTAGAAGAGTGGCATGTGGCCCTGCATTTGTCTGGGTCTTCAATATTAGGAAACCAAACAGTCGTCGACTGAGAGGCACTACCCATAAAACACACACACACTTTTCACATGCACGGAAGTGTCACAGACCACTTAAGACGGAGCCGTGACGGCTTGGCCCTCAGCCCACCAGTCCGCCACCCCATACTGACACACAAGACTGAGTAGACTGCGTGGACTGAGCTGGGGCGTAGGTCGTGACTGACGATGTCCACCGTGTGGTCCACAGCAAAATCAAGCAGGCACGGTGACCCGCGCGTGAATTAGTTTATAATGAGTGTAGACATGCGCAGCATCTACCGCACTCTATCCTCCTTCGCCTCCTCCACCTGGGCCCGGTGTCCAGATAGAGTCAAGAAGATCGGAGGCGGGCGAGGGCGTAGGCGGCTGGCACGGTCGAGGCCGCACCTTGGCGCTCCACTCCACACTCCCTGGTCTGCACAACAACACCCCAACGGGTCAAAAGGAGAGGGATGACTGGGCAGCCATGCTCATCTACAGACAGGAAACCAGGTGTCAGGGCACCGCCAGGGAATACCAGGCTGTGAGGGCCATGGTTTGCTTATGCTGGCATAATGGACGCTTAAAGTCCTTCAGGCGCAGACGGGTGACACGTGGCCCTGGATTTGTCCGGGTCTTCACCCTTCAAGGTTGGGAAACCAAGCAGTCGTTGAGTGAGATGCACTACACATAAAGCACACACACACGCACTTTTCACATGCGTGAGAGTGTCACAGACCAGTTAAGACGGAGCCGTGACGGTTTGGCCCTCAACCCACCAGTCCGCCACTCCATACTGCCACACCAGACTGAGTAGACTGCGTGGACTGAGCTGGGCGTCAGTCAGCAGCCTTTTAAGCGTACCGTGATAGTCTCAGACTCGGATCACGCACGCAGCAGAGGAGTTGCAAGGAGAGGGAGCCGAGCAGCACAGCTCCCACTTGCGTGGGAGATAGCAGTTGGGTGCTTGTCATGGGTGATGGTGTTGGGAGTTGCGGGCGCTGGTGGGGGGAAAGTGTGATGGTGCGGTATAGCCGGCGGTTGTCTACGGCAGGTTTTTCGTGAATGCGCATGTGTTCGCATGTGCGGATACAGTGAGCGCAGTTGGCACTACAGACACTGGTTCTCCAGTCTCCGTGCGATGGATTCGCAAGTAACCGACCAGGGTGGTGTGTGAGGTGAACGTGCGATTGCAACGAGGACCGGTGTGAACCGAATCTTCTTTGCTGAAAATGGGGATTTTGGTTTTGTTTGAAGTTGATGGGACGTCGAACTTCGTCCTATCTGTGGGGGAGAGCGTAGCAACGTGGTGGTAGTAGGGATGCTGGCCGCTGCGGTCGGGTCAGGACGAATGGTGGTGGTGGGGCGGTGACGAGGTTGGCGGTCGGCACGGGGTTTGCGGCAGGGGAGAGAGTGGGAGAAGAGGCAGACGTTGGCTGATTGATGGCGCCTTGGGTCCAACGAGACAGATTCGTGCGCGGAATGCATGTTTGCAGCCCGGCCATGTTGAAAGCGGCGCATGGTTGGCACTGAGTAGGCGATGCACTTATGGTTTGCAAGCCTCCCGTTTAGCTTTGGCGGTTGCGACCCGATTTGCTTCGTAGATGGCAGCACCGGTCTGTTGTGGACGAGGTCCTCCCAGAGAATTCTTCAGTGTCTGTGGCAGTTCGCTTCGGTTTGCCCTCTGCCTTTGCCACGCTGCCTTCTTGTCTGCCCCAAACTCCTTGTCCATACGCTGCTGGGACGCACGAAGCTTGTAACTAGCCTCGCAAGTGCTCGAGGCCAATCAACGCTGTCCCCTCTCTGATTGGCTGGCGGACGCGGAGATAACGAAAGGCACACACACGCGCTGGGTCACAGCACCTCGGAGGCGGACACAAAGCAACAACTTGCCTGGAGAGCGCGCTCGCGGCGACTGCCCACAGTGCCTTTGTGTACGCACTTCCAAAGCAGTAAAGGTTGTCCAACTCAACCCATCTTCCCTGACTTTTGATTGGGAATTTTTGTCTTGTCAACCACACCACCTTCGACATGTCCTTGTAGTGTCGTTTTAGTCCTCCCGGTTGGTGAGCACCGATGGCGACACCGACATAAAAGAGGTGTTTCGGTAGTTTTGTGTCTTCCATCCTCACGAGATGGCCACTTCAACGTAGCTGCACTTGCCTCAACATGGCGTGACTGCTAAGGATGTCGGTCCGTTCTAGGACTTCCGTGTCCGGGATCCTGTTTAGCCATCTTAGTTTTATTATTCTGCGAAGGCAACTGGGATGGAAATGGTTGAGTTTCTTGGCCTGGTTGGAGTTGACGGTCCGCAGAGAAGTGTCGTCAGGACGACGGCCTTGTACTTCGATTCAATGTCCAGTTGGAGGCCTTGACCATTCCACACAGAGTTCTGCAATTGGCCGAAGGCTCGTTTGGCCTTAAATATCCGGTGCTCATCCCCATCATCGATCCTGGTACTGTTGCAAAACGTGCCTCAGAGATAAGCAATACTGTCAGCGGCTTTGAGTTGGTGGCCGTGGACAGCGATTCGAGGAGGAGTGCAGTGTTGCATGTTGGGTGACGGTTGGCGCATAACCAGATAGTCAGGCCGAAGTTGGCGCACCCTGCGGCGAGGAGGTCCACGCTCTGTTGAATATCCACTTCGGTTGTGGTGTTGAGCAGGCAGCCGTCGCGAAGAGCAGGTCGTGGACCGTGGTCGTCGACAGCGGCGTCCTGCATGAGCCTGCTGTTGAGAAGGTGCCCGTCAGTTCTGTAGGCAATGCGTATCCCGGGACGCTCATCATGGTAGGCGTCCACCAGCACGGCAGAGAATGGGAGACTGAAGAGGGTAGGCGCGAGGACGCAGTCCTGCTTCACTCCATTGGTCGCTGCGGATGCCTCGGGGGTTGCGCCCTTGTCCGTGACGCGTGTCATCATCCTATCGTGGAGCTGACCTACCATGCGTGTGAATTGTTCGAGACAGCCGAATCGCTGCATGATTTTCCACAGTCTCCCGCGACTCAACGTATTGAAGGCTTTTGTCAAGTCCCCGAAGGTGGTGTGGAGGTGGGCCGCATCTCCCGGCATTTTGCTTGCAGCCGGCGAGCGGCAAACACCGTGTCAGTGGTGCCCAGGCATCGTCGGAAACCACATTGGCTTTCCGGCGGGAGTCTTTGCTCGAGGTGTCCGTTCGGTCAGCGTAACATGCGTGACAGGTAGTGCGCACGCGCGTGACCCAACCTCCCTGACGTCCATATATATTTGTCATTCACTGATTGGCCGCAGCCGGACAAGGTTCGGGCGCATACACTTCGCTGACGCTTGCCTGGTGAGAACGCCAGCTGCGATGCTGCGTGTACGCTCTCACACCTTGTCCATCTAACTGGCCTTCCTGACGTCCGATTTGTGAACCTCCAAGTAGTCGATCATTTTATCTCTACAAATTAAGAGTGGGAGCGCGACTTGTAAAGTATGGTGGGGCAGAAGTTGACTGCCGGCAAGGCAGAGCTGAAACATTGGCAGTCGACTGAGCGCATACGTTGACGAGGAAACTTCTGCCTCGTGCGCTGTCGTGACATAGACGGTGAAACTGGTGTCGGGTTTGTCAAAAAGATATCCGTGGGATATCCTGTTTGGAGAAAGCGATCAAATGACCAGCTTGACGCCAAGGGCTGAATTATACGAGCGCCACAGGGTAAAGATAAGGAAGAAATAAAGAAGTAGGTTCGAGCAGGCTGGCATATGATTTAGGTCACCTCCAACAGACAGTATTGGTGTCATTCTACTGAGGGGGACATGCATTGTTAGGTGGTTTTGGCCACTGGGTGCAAGCGAGATGACTGAACCGTAATTTGAAGAAGAGGAAGCCAGTGCTTGGTATAGAAGTGCATTTTCATCAATCGGGCGGTCGTATGGATGGTTTGAGCTCTTTGAGCGCCCGACTGAGAACAAGCGACCTAGTCAACAAATGAAACAAAACAAACGCCGAGTGCATTGGCGGAGGCCGCTAATTCCCGTAGCACAGTAGCACCCAGGTGTACTACTATCAGGTGAATGACTGGCTCGGAGGTCACAGTCACGAAAACACAACACGCAGATGCACCGTCAAGGTACGTCGTTTGTTGGATATGAGGAGTGTAAAACCAAGGCTTAAGTCAGTGGAAATACTCCAGAATTCAGAGGAAGGACGAGACAAAGTGTCATCCCCTCTCCGCCATCATAAATTGGCTGACATCGGCCAGGTGGTTGGTTGCCTGCTCGTGGCTTTTGCCATTCATGCGGAACTTGTTTGCTTCAAAAAGTCAATGGATCGGTGTGTGTCCATTCCTGAATCAAGAGTTCCCTACTGAAGCCCCAGTACAGATAAGTGGCAGTCACCGATTCCCTTCAAAAGACGATAATCCTGACAAGTTTTTTTCAATTCCACCGTCATTGACGACAATGTCCAGTGTTTGCTCCACAGCAGGGTGAAAGTAGGGATGGCAATTCGCACATGAATTAATCTAATGTGATAGTAGATTTGCGCTGCATCAACCACACCTTCTTCTTTTTCTTCTTCTTCTTCTCCTCCCCCTAAATGGGCCCCTGTCAAGATAAAGTCAAGAAGATCAGAGGCATTGAGAAAATCCGCACCTGACAGTTGGACCGTCGTTTCCGACGATGTCCATCGTATGCTACACGCCAAGGTGCAACAGCACGGTGACTTGCGCAGCATCTACCGCACTCTCTCTTCCCCACCCCCCTTCACCTGGATCCGGTGTCAAGACAGAGTGAAGAACACCGAAGGCGAGATAGGCCGCAGGTGGCTGGCGCGGCCGAGCCCGCACCTTGGCGCTCAACTCTACACCCCTTGGTTAACAACAGACACTGACAAGGATTTTATACACCAAGAAAACGGGGCGACAAGGATCCCATTTGGCGCGGTGTAAACCGGCAACTGGCCGGCCACCGCACCCCGAAGTTTGGCATTATCTATAGGTGGGCATTCCCAATAAAGTCTACCGGACTCCAATCTAGCTCCTTCTGTTGGTCAAGCGCATCTACAGCGCGGTCTGTTTTAGGGGCACATCTTGACAGGTAACCAACTGTTTGATGACCTTTTGACGATTGACGTTAGTTGCTTTTAATCCGAACTAGAAGAAAATGAACGAAAGGTTTGCGTAGGTGATTTATGAACATCCCCGAAATCAATAAAACCGCCGCGTTGAGAGGTGTCCTTAGCATATACTTTGTACCTAACCTGCCTCAGTTCACCTATCGACTCAACAAGAGGAGTTTAATGGCTTGTTTGGCAACGCGCATAATTAAATTTAATTGTACCGATGCCAATAAGGTTTTTAAACCGAAAATCTTTAGGGAAATGATGCGCGTCATATACTAAAGCCTGTTTCAAAAGTCGCCCAAATGGAATAATGGAAATATTCCTCACCTATCGAAGGCGGATTCACGTCAAAAGAAAGTATCCTTTTCCAGTAGAATGTCGAGAAGCTTGTATAATCTGCATTACATCAGTAGAGAGGAAGTAAACATGTTAAATGGTACTGTCACGTGGGTGCCATACTCACAATTCAGTCCGATTGCTACTGTTAAAGACTGGGATATCTAAGAAGGACATGTTGAAAGGCAAATTTTACCCACTTTTTCATGAAGTGATGTTTGTTTCGATAAGATTGTGCCTTCTCAAATGAACATTTAATGATGAACTTTATGGGCTCTGGCCGACTGGCCACATTTCCAGTAGATCGACTGTCCGTAGTTCACTTGTTCGAAATCTTGATAAATATTGCTCAGCGTTCGAACAATCATGAAAATAACGCAGGTATTTAACAGGTGAATAGAATATCACTACTGATGAAAATGGACGGGGATCGACCGAATAAAATTTTCCGGATTTGTAACTTTCGTTTCTACTTTTGTTCCCGTAAAGAACAGACTGTTTGTTATTCATTAATATCTCGAATCAGAGAAGGCTTGCTAGAGTCTGAAAAATCGGAGATAACAGAAAGCTTTCCGCTATCCTGAACTCTGAATGCAGCTGCGTATATACGACCAGGTTTAACTGTTCACGGCCATGGTGGCCTTCAAAGCCTTGCAGTGAATTTAGCTGTTCCAAATTTTTCTAAGGATTATTCGCCCCACTATACAATTGACAGATATCGTTGTTTTTAAGTCAACGCACCTCAACTGGCTTTTATTTACATGGGCAATTACGCGTCACCTCAGACACCTAGCGCCTTATTGGGATCGGTTATCAGGACGGAAGAGGACGGCGCCGAAAGTGGTTTAACTGGTTGACATTTCGCGGAGCTGAGTCTTCCGCCTACTGTGAAGCCTGTACTGCACAGGCATATCGATTCGATCTTTAAACGATTTTCCATGGTGGTCAGTCTAACCCCTCCCGACCCCTCCGCCTTCGGTCTGCCCTACGGCTTGTCGCCATCTGATTGGTCCGCTAGCCGTTGTCACGTGCCGGCCCGCCCTGGCAATGCATGTGCAGCAGGCTATAGAGCTTGTGAAACGGGGTTCGCCCAGATGACGCCTTAGATTTCCCACAGTCCGGCTGTTTAAAACGCCAGCCAGCTGATGAAACTACTCAATCGATCTTCCACCTTACCTTTTACGCAATTGATTTTTCGCCTCATTTTCAAAGCGTTCGATAGCCGGCCACTCCTCTGAGACGTCGTCTGGGCATGCTTTTTGGCACTGTTTTAACGAGTTTAACGCTGATTCATGCGGCCTCCGGCTTCTGTTTAATACGGAAAGCCCAGCTAAAAGGTACGCAGATTCCATTGTGGGATTCCGGAGAGATCACGGCTCCCGAAAAGTTGCGGTATGACTCGACCTTCAAGACGGACACTTATGACTGCTCTGCCATCGACGACATGTCCTGGAGCTGGTACACCGTCTTCGTGAATTGCTGTTATCTGGGAGACCTGGAGGATGATGCACCCATGTCGGACAAGGAAAGTCGAAGCAGGCTGAAGGCGATCTTCTTCTAGCTGCACTGCAGGGGACTCAAAATGTAAACCAAGATAATTCACGTTATTTAATGATGGAGAAGAACGTTGTCTATTCTTTGGTTCCCGTTTGCAAGTTTAAGCTGCTCGAGAGAATCCACGGTCTATGTAATTTTTGTCATATGATTCCATTATATAAAGGTTTCCTTATTTCTAAAAACCGATACACCCTTAGCTTATCCACAGAAGTGTCCCGTTTCGCTCTCACTTTTAGGAGGGTAGTTTTCATCAGTTTGGTTGTTTTAAAACGATAGAAGGAGGGAGGATTTTAAGACCCCATGAAACACCTGCCGTACCCCAACAATAGTTGAAGATCCTCGGACTGCTGACTACTTTCTTTGCACACTGAAATGCAAATTCAGACACACTGCAACAACCTCGAGTTTAATGCGTTTTCGATGCCGTTCACGCTCAAGATCGGACGGTCACAAAAATGGCTGAAGATGAGATCCAGCAAAGCTGCGCGCAAAGACGCAACGAAAGAACTGGCGTCCTCTGGCCAACTTCCAGAAAGAGGGAAATCATGTTGCTAGAAGGAGCAGCCTAGATTTCCGTCATTTGAGATCTCCATGAGCGCTCATAGTCGAGATTGCCAGGTGTGATAATGAGTCATCATTTCCCTAGTCATGATTAACGAGGTAAGACACGCCTGGCGGATAAAATTCACGTTCCAGCGATCGCGCCTGCATCTTTTCAACTGCCTTTTGAGACTCGAATCCTTGCTTGTCTGAGGCAAGAATATTTAGGCTCCAGTTAGCGTTGTTATACCGGGATTGCGAGACAAAACCCGTCGATGCTGAAAAATCTTGGACAAGCGACAGACACTCGCCATAATCCACATACATGTGTGGGAGCGAAGCTGCGAGCCAGAGGTTCTTGTTACAAAGAAGAGGAAGAGACAATCTCTGGGGCGGCAATGCATGTTTTTATCGCAAGACTCCTAACGACGCTCGCTAACTATGTTTTGGCAGTCGCAATTTTTCCCGACTTCTGCCAGTCAAGCGACGGAAACAGATCAGAAAATTGTTAGCCCCGCATAAGACTCAGGTCTAGTTTCGATCGTCTTCATAT